CCATTTGGAACTAACTTGTAAATTTTTTGAACTTCGTTCTTTTTTGCATGTCTAATCATCATCCACAAATGAATCTGCTAAGTTAATCCTAATTATGAGAAGTTGTCTCCTGAAGAAATAAATGCTTCAGACTAGGAAATTAAATCTTTCGGATCCCTATTTGCAGGGTCTGAGAACACCCAGCTCTCTCCTCTCCTGGCCCACCTCAGGACACCCAGTCCCCATGCTCAGGCCCAGCAACATGTGTAGCCATGTGCTCAGGGGAGGAAGGAAGAGGGGCAGTCAGCCTGGACTCAGGGCACTGTCCGGGGGCCTTGTGATCCTATTTCTATCAAAGGGGCTGAGCAAGAATAGGCCCTGTAGTTTTCCTTTTGAACTATAGAAACTATAAAATTTATAAAATGAAAGGTAATGATATTACCTTTTCAGTCTGTCTCTCTCTGTCTCTCTCTCTCTCTCTCTATCTCTCTCTCTCTCTCTGACTCCCTCATCTTTAAGAATTTAATCTATGTATCAGTAAAACAAATACATGAGGTAAAACACTCCAATTTCATAATATTGCATGTTTTCTCCAATGGCCCAATTCTCACAGTTCTGTCTTTTTACATATTCTTTATTTTATGTCACTTTTTATCTCAGTTAATTGTATTTAGCAGTCCTCTATCCTTTAATTTACCTAAACTAATCAAATATACCTCTTCACTTAATGATGCTCTTCTTAGGGTTAGGGTTTTCTACGAAGCAGATTGTTATGGTTTGTATCTGGATGTCCCCCAAAACTCATGTGGTCATGAGTGGGGCTTTTACAGAGGTGGCTGGATCTAGAGTCTGTTGTGCTGCCATTACAGGTATGTGAGGATCAAATTATTCACTGATTTGTTTGAAATAGTTCTGGGTAGGATTAAGGGTGCCCCATTCGGGGTCTGAATGCTATCTGCCTTATGGGTGGGAGGCCTGAGTAAAAATATAAGGAACAGAAAGAGGGCTGGTGTGTCCCTTGTCCTTGCTGCTTGCTGCTTTTGTTGTATTCTGCCATGAATGGTCTCTCCTCTGTGTTGCTCCTCTGCTGTGCCACCCTGCATTGGAGTCACCCAATCACACACTAAAACCTCTATGAACTGTGAGCCAAAATAGACCTTCCCTCCTTTAACTTTAGGTGTGGAGTGTTTTGTCTCAACAATGAGAAAAGTAACCAAGACATAGTTTCATAGTGAGCAGAAGAAAATCATTTGCACACTGAATCCCCATACATACATGTTTCCTGAAGGCAGAGCTGAGGTGACATCTTCACACATAGACCACCATCCCACAAGGGTTGCAAAGGACTTCACAGTCACACAAGTCAGGGGAAGTCAAATGCACCTCCACCTTCTCACCCTGCTCTGCACCTCAGCTGGACCAGCATCATCACTGATGTATCTGCTGTTGGTGTTTAAGTAATGGGAGTTTATGTTTTTGGTGTGACGTCCCAGGTAAACCTGTTGTTTGGAACCCAGTATATGGACATCTTCCAGAATATGACCTCACCTGAGATGTAGCTCGATCCTACCTGTTAGACCTTCTGAATTTCAGCTACATGTAGATCTCTGAAAACTCTAAAAGCTTTCATAGGTTTTCTTCTGTTTCCTTCTTTTCTGCTACTCAGCGTTCACTCATGATTGTGCAAATGTCATTTTCAATTATTGATCTTAGAAGCCTGACTCAAGTAAGAGTACAAATTGGGCCACTGAACATTTTTCTGGTTTCTGTTCCAACCTGTAAAGACATTGAAAATCATTACCCACATAATCAAATCTACAAAAATCTGGAAAAAACATCACAATGTGTTCAGAGGCCCATGAAAGAAATAAAATTTCAGATTGAATGGTCAAAGAAAGCTAGAGAGGCAAGAAGATTCAGAATCACAGGTGAGC